CAGAGGCTGAGGCAGAAGGATCGCCGGAGCCCAGCAGGTCAAGGTTGCGGTGGCCGGGAGCGGCCACTGCACTCCAGTCTGGGTGACAGCGTGAGACTCCAACACAAAAAAAAATAAAAATAAATAAAAAAAAAGAAAGAAAAGGGCAAATACTTGGTAACTGCACCAAGCACACTGAAAAATTGAAAGAGCTTTGTTAGCTGCAGGGTCCGTCCCCCACAGACCCAGGGACAGTGTGGGTCCCACCCAGCCTCATCCAGGAGAAGCACAGCCTCAGCAGGGCCCCTCACCACAGCCCAGGCATGGATCTGAGGACAGGCCCTTCACACTCCAGACTCAAGGCTCAAAAGCACCCCGCTAAGCCAAGCACTGTGGTTCATGCCTGTAATGCCAGCACTTTGGGAGGCTGAGGTGAGAGGATTGCCTGAGTCCAGGGATTTGAGACCATTCTGGCCAACTTCGTAAGACCTCATCTCTACAATAAATTAAAAAAATAGCTGGGCATGGTGGTGCATGCCTGTGGTTCCAGCTACTTGGAAGACTGAGGCGGAGGGATGGTGGGAGCCCAGCAGGTCGAGATGACAGAGTGAGACTCTGACTCAAAAAAAAAAACCAAAAAAACAAAAAACCCCCTGCGCTCCCAAAGCAGGAGCCATCAGCCCCCATGCTGTCCAGGACCAGGTCCCAAGACAGGATCATCAGACCATAGGTATCTTCTGCCCAACCAGAGGCAGGAACAGAGCAACATACACACATTCACACATAACCAATGACGCGTGACCCACAGGGCCATCATCATCTCTAGAGCTCTCTCTGTCTCTGTATATCTCTGACTCTCTCTCACTCACACAGTATGGCGCCCAAGCTCACCCCATGTTAGCCTCTGCCTTCACCCAAGGGCTTCCTGCAGCCCCGGACTTCCCCTCTTTCCATCATGGGCCACTCGGTTTCAATCTCCTCCCCTTTCGGGGAAAAGGAAAGCAAATCTCCTCCAACTGACGTCAGTGGCAGAAGGACAGACCCAAGAGGCCCTGTACCCACCCTCTTAAAGATACAGTACGGCCCAGGCGCTGCAGCCACGCCAGCAGCCAAGGAGCAGAGAAGGGAGGAGGGGATGCTGAGGCGTCCTCCCAGGCTGCTTCCCTGAGCTTCCACCGGCCTGCAGGGGCCCAGCCTTGGAAGGCAGCCAGTCCACTACGGCTCTGAGAGGTGCCCTAGCCTCCTGCATGCCCTAACCACACTCTCTCACCTACCCCCCCCACCCCCACAACCCACCAGCCTGGTCCCAGCCATCTTCCTAGAAGAACACCTTCATCTCTCTAGGCCCAGAGCCTGACCCTGGGGCCCTGGCTGACACGCAGGCAATAAGCAAGGGCCAGCCTGACCTCTCTGTTCCTCTCCACCAGCATGTCCTCCAAGTCACTAATCTGTCTCCCCATGTTTCCCTGGTCACCCTGCTGGAGCCACCTTGCAGGGTCCATCATGTCACTCTCCACTCTAACACCTATAGTTCCTGTAGCTCTTGAGAACACATAGAATTTGCTTTATACTTGCTTGCTAAGTTGTGCATGTATATCTATCTATACTTTCCTGTGTATACATTATAGTTGACAATAAAAGAATAAAAGAAAAATCTGCAGCCAGGCTCGGTGGCTCAGCCTGTAATCCCGTGCTTTGGGAGGCTAAGGTGAGTGAATTGCCTGAGCCCGCGGGTTCAAGACTCACCTGGGCAACTTGGCAAGACCTCATCTCTACAATAAATAAAAAATTAGCTGGGTGTGATAGCGCACGCCTGTAGTTCCAGCTACTTGGAAGGCTGAGGCGGAAGGACTGCCGGAGCCCAGCAGGTCGAGGCTGCGGTGGCTGCACTCCAGTCTGGGCAACGGAGTGAGACTCCAACTCAAAAAAAAAAAGAAGCCAGGCTCGGTGGCTGTAATCCTGCGCCTTGGGAGGCTGAGGTGAGTGGATTGCCTGAGCCACGGGTTCGAGACCCGCCTGGGCAACTTGGCGACACCTCATATCTACAATAAATCAAAAATCAGCCGGGCGTGGTAGCATATGCCTCTGTAATTCCAGACTGGAGTACAGTGGTCACTTCTGGCCACCGCAGCCTCGACTGCTGGGCTCTGGCGATCCTTCCACTCAGCCTTCCAAGTAGCTGAAACTACAGATGTGCACCACCACACCCAGTTAATTTTTTAAAATTTATTATAGAGACAGAGTCTTGCCAAGTTGCCCAAGCTGGTCTTGAACTCCCAGGCTCAGACAATCCTCTTACCTCTGCCTTCCAAAGTGCTGGGATTACAGGCGTGAGCCACATACCTGGCTAATAACATAAATCTTAATCTTTAATAAAAATAAAATAAAACTCTTTACTAAACCCAAAACACCACTGAGACCCAGCAATGCCTAGAACCTGCCATGGTGCCACTGAGGCCTATGCCTGGGCTGCCTCCAGGTCCATACCGGCTGGGCATCTCCTGCAGGGCCATCTGGAAGCCCTTGTTCCTGTGTCTTAGTGTAGAAGGGGCACTCCTGGATGTGGAGGGAGGTTGTGTATGGAGGTCTCAGATTCCAAGCAGTCCCAGGATGCTGAGGAAAAAGCACCATGCACTTCTTCCCCTCCTCCACTCAAAAGAGTCCTGCACAGATTCTGCTGCAGCCAGTGAGGCCCTACACCTGCCCTGCTCACAGGGCAGGATGGAGCAGGACAAGAGCCCACACCTCATATCCAGGCCCAGAGCCCAAGGTCACTTCCCTCAAAGGAGTAACCAGGCCTGGGCAGGTCTTTTCTTTTCTTTTCTTTCTTTTTTTTTTTTTGAGTTGGAGTTTCACTCTGTTGCCTCGACTGGAGTGCAGTGGCCGCTCCCGGCCACCACAGCCTCGACCTGCTGGGCTCTGGCGATCCTTCCGCCTCAGCCTTCCAAGTAGCCAGAACTACAGGCGCGCACTACCATGCCTGGCTAATTTTTTATTTATTGTAGAGATGAGGTCTCGCCAAGTCGCCCAGGTGGGTCTTGAATCCTCGGGCTCAGGCAATTCACTCACCTCGGCCTCCCAAAGCATGGGATTACAGGCTGAGCCACCGAGCCCAGCGAGGTCTTTTCTTAAAAGGAGATTCTAGCCGGGCTCGGTGGCTCAGCCTGTAATCCTGCGCCTTTGGAAGGCTGAGGTGAGTGGATTGCCTGAACCCTCGGGTTCGAGACCCACCTGGGCAAATTGGTGAGACCTCATCTCTACAATAAATCAAAAAATTAGCCGGGAGTGGTAGTGCGCGCCTGTAGTTCCAGCTACTCGGAAGGCTGAGGCGGAAGGATCGCCGGAGCCCAGCAGGTCGAGGCTGCGGTGGCCGGGAGCGGCCACTGCACTCCAGTCTGGGTGACAGAGTGAGACTCCAACTCAAAAAAAAAAAGGGGATTCTAGATCCACCAAGGCAGGAGATGGACAGAAAGCAGAAAAGACTTCAACCAGGAAAACACACACATGTGGCTGCACACCCCTTCCATCCTCATGAAGTGTGTGTCACAACACCCGTTGTGATGGCAACATGACAGGACAGGACCCTGGCCAAGGCGACTGGTGTTTGAGGAACAGGGCTGCTACCTGGTCTCCTGGGATGAGGGTTCTGACACAGTAACCTGTGTCCTAAAAGCTGGACACAGGGACCATGACATCATCATTGTCCCATCACCTCGTCCCACCATTATCCCATCACCGAGCACTCACCACCTCCACCACCACCCTCATGACTGTCACTATTGTCACCATTACCCCATCATGATATACCTTCCCCCATCTACCATCACCTCATGCCCACTACTCCACTGCCCTATCACCATCATCTTTTGCCACCACTGCCCATCACTGTCAATCCCTCCTCTATCAGAACCTATCAGTCACCTGCTGCCCCAACCACCACCTAGGTCAATATGACTCCCACCTCTAGCCTTTCAACTGTTAACCCCCAACCACAGTCATCCTCATCCCTACCACCCCAGCACACTATGAAGACAAACTTCCCAACATAAGAAGCAAGGGTCAGCCAGGCTTGGTGGCTCACACCTCTATACCCAGCACTTTGGGAGGTGGAAGCAAGAGGATTGCCTGAGCTCAGGGGTACAAGACCAGCCTGGGTAACATGGCAAGACCTCATCTCTACAAAAAAATTTTAAAATTAACCAGGCATGGTGGTACATGCCTATAGTTCCAGCTACTATGAAGGCTAAGGCAGAAGAATCACCTGAGCCCAGCAGGTCGAGATTGTGATGGCCATGAGCTTGCCACTGCACTCCAGCCTGGGCAAAAGAGTAAGATTCTGACTCAAAAAAAAAAGCAAGCGTCCTTGTGGTCAGAAATGGTAACAGTTTCTTTGGGGCTTCATCCCAGTGACTATGTCACCCCGTCCTCACAGCCCTCATCCTGGCCCACCCGAGCCCCCTTGTCACCTTTACTAGGAAGATGCACCCAGCCTGCAGGTTTTATTTACCCTGACATGGGGTCGCTGTCCATGCTAGAGCGAAACCTCAGCGGCGAGTCCAGTTGTTCCAGTGGCTCCCCGTTGGGCATGCTGCAAAGAGGAAAACTTGTGATTACACACTTAAGCCCCATCTAGCACACCAGGAACAAACAAGCACTACCTTAGGGCACACAAAAAACATATACAAATGCTACCGTGAACTTCTAGCTCCAATGGCCTCCTACAGACCGGCTATGACCACACCAGGATCTCATACGACATTGCACATTCTCTCCGGTTCATGGACCATCTCCAGGAGAGAATGTTATTGGGTTGCAAAACAAGTCTCAATAGCATTTGAAAGGGCCAGGTATGATGGCTCATGTCTGTAATCCCAGCAGTTTGGGAGGCCAAGACAAGAGGATTGCCTGAGTCCAGGACCTCGAGACCAGCCTGGACAGCTTGGCAAGACTTTGTCTCTATAATAAAATAAAGATAAGTAGCCAGGCTCGGTGGCTCAATCTGTAATCCCGTGCCTTGGGAGGCTGAGGTGAGTGGATTGCCTGAACCTGTGGGTTCATGACCCGCCTAGGCAACTTGGCGAGACCTCATCTCTACAATAAATCAAAAATCAATAAATCAATAAATCAAATAATTAGCAGGGTGTGGTAGCGCACGCCTGTAGTTCCAGCTACTTGGAAGGCTGAGGCGGAAGGATCACTGGAGCCCGCTTCCGGCCACTGCACTCCAGTCTGAGCGACAGAGTGAGACTCCAACTCAAAAAATAAATAGCTGGGCTAGGTGGCTCAGCCTGTAATCCCGCGCCTTTGGGAGGCTGAGGTGAGTGGATTGCCTGAGCCCGCGGGTTCGAGACCCGCCTGGGCAGGCGAGACCTCATCTCTACAATAAATCAAAAAATCAGCCGGGTGAGGTATGCGGTATGCGGTGGCCTGGAGCAGCCACTGCACTCCAGTCTGGGCGACAGAGTGAGACTCTAACTCAAAAAAAAAGAAAAATAAATAAATAAATAAATAAATAAAAGTTAGCTGGGCATGGTAGCACAGACCTGTGGTTCCAGTTACTTGTAAGATTGAAGTGGAAGGATCTCCTGAGCCCAGCAGGTCGAGGCTGTGGTGGTCATAGCATACCACTGCACTCCAGTCTGGGTGACAAGAGTGAGACTCCAACTCAAAAAAAAAAAAAAAGGCCGAGCGCGGTGGCTCAAGCCTGTAATTCCAGTACTTTAGAAGGCCAAGGCAAGAGGATTGCCTGAGCCTGAGGGTTCACAACCAGCCTGGGCAACATGATGAGACCTCATCTCTACAATAAAATTTTTAAAATTAGCTGGGCATGGTAGCTCGCGCCTGTAGTTCCAGCTATTTATTTATTTATTTATTTATTTATTTATTTTGGAGCCTCACTCTGTCGCCCAGATTGGAGTGCAGTGGCCACTCCTGGCCACCGCAGCCTTGACCTGCTGGGTTCCGGTGATTCTTCCGCCTCAGTCTTCCAAGTAGCTGGAACTACAGGCACGCACTACCACGCCCGGCTAGTTTTTTGATTTATTGTAGAGATGAGGTCTCGCCAAGTTGCCCAGGCAGGTCTCAAACCCGCGGGCTCAGGCAATCCACTCACCTTGGCTTCCCAAAGCACAGGATTACAGGCTGAGCCACAGAGCCCGGCCTAGTAGTTCCAGTTATTTAGATGACTAAGGCGGAAGGATCACTGGAGCCCAACAGGTTGACGCTGAGGTGGCCGTGAGCGTGCCACCGCATTCCAGACTGGATAACAGAGACTCCAACTCAAAAAAACAAAAAACACAAACAAAATAAAACAAAAAGAACCCAATAAGTTGTATAGTGTTAAATAAGAAATCATAAAGGAAATTAGCAAATATGTAGAACTGAGTGATAATGAAAACACAACATTTGTGAAACACAGCTAAATTTGTGAAAACAAAATTTGTGAAACATAGCTAAAGTAGTTCTCAGAGGGAAATTTATGTCTTCCATAGCATTTAACAGGAAATGGAAAAGGTTAAAAATAAATAGGATGGTATTAAACTCAGTAAGCTTTTTTGTTTTGTTTTTGTTGTTGCTGTTGTTGTTTTTGAGTTGGAGTCTTACTCTATCACCCAGGCTGGAGTGCAGTGGCACACTCATGACCACCCCAGCATTGACCTGTTGGGCTCCCATAATCCTTCCACCTCAGCCTTCTAAGCAGCCGGAACTACAGGTGCACACTACCACACCCGGCTTATTTTTTGATTTATTGTAGAGATGAGGTCTTGCCAAGTTGCCTGGCCTGGTCTCAATCCCATGGGCTCAGGCAATTTCTCTCACCTCCGTCTCCCAAAGTGCTGGGATTACAGGTGTGAGCCACTACACCCGGCTAGGAGAAAATATATATTTTTTTGAGTTGGAGTCTCACTCTGTTGCCCAGACTGGAGTGCAGTGGCCGCTCCCAGTCACCGCAGCCTCGACCTGCTGGGCTCCGGTGATCCTTCTGCCTCAGCCTTCCAAGTAGCTGGAACTATAGGCGCGCACTACCATGCCAGGCTACTTTTTTGATTTATTGTAGAGACGAGGTCTTGCCAAGTTGCCCAGGCGGGTCTCGAACTCGCAGGCTCAGGCAATCCACTCACCTCAACCTCCCAAAAGCATGGGATGACAGGCTGAGCCACTGAGCCTGGCTGGAGAAAATATATATTTTTAATTATTTATTTATTTTTTATTATGAAGTTGTGGGGTACAGTTAAGGGTTAGGTATGCAATTGTGTTTCATTCAGGCACCCTGTTGATATGGGGTGTTTCCCCGTTCCCAGACAGATATTTGTTACTGTTAATCCCATCTCCCTCCCCCCATCATAGTTTCCCAGTACTGTCAGTCATTTTCGTATAGTATTGCACTGGATGTTTAAGGTCCATTATATGAGTGAGAACATGTGATACTCAGATCTTTGTTTCTGTGAGAGGTCACTCAGTATTACAGACTCTAGGTCCATCCAGGTTGCTGCGAAATTCATGATTTTGTTCTTTTTTATGGCTGCGTAGTATTCCATCGTGTATATGTACCACATTTTTTTTTTTTTTGAGTTGGAGTCTCACTCTGTCACCCAGACTGGAGTGCAGTGGCCGCTCCCGGCCACCGCAGCCTCAACCTGCTGGGCTCCGGCAATCCTTGCGCCTCAGCCTTCCAAGTAGCCGGAATTACAGGCAATGCGCTACCATGCCCAGTTGATTTTTTTATTTATTGTAGAGATGAGGTCTCGCTGCCCAGGCGGGTCTTGAACCCGCGGTCTCAGGCAATCCACTCACCTCAGCCTCCCAAAGGCACGGGATTACAGGCTGAGCCACCCAGCCTGGCTTGTACCACATTTTTAAAATCCAGTCCTCTTTTGACAGGCAGCATGGCTGTTTCCAGGTTCTTGCTATTGTGAACAACGCTGCGATAGACATGCGTGTGCAGGTATCTTTTTTATAGAGTGATTTGTGTTCTTCAGGATATATTCCCAGTAGGGGGATTGCAGGGTCATATGGGAGGTTGGTATTTAGAGCTTTTAGGAAACGCCACACTGCTTTCCACAGAGGTTGCACTAGTTTACACAGAAAATATTTTTTAAGAAATCATTGTGGGCCGGGCTCGGTGGCTCAGCCTGTAATCCCACGCTTTGGGAGGCTGAGGTGAGTGGATTGCCTGAGCCTGCGGGTTCGAGACCCGCCTGGGCAACTTGGCAAGACCTCGTCTCTGCAATAAATCAAAAAACTAGCCGGGCGTGGTAGTGCGCACCTGTAGTTCCAGCTACTTGGAAGGCTATGGTGGAAGGATCACTGGAGCCCAGCAGGTCGAGGCTGCGGTGACTGGGAGTGGCCACTGTACTCCAGTCTGGGCAACAGAGTGAGACTCCAACTCAAAAAAAAATCAGTGTGAAAGATTTGGAGAACAATATAAGAAATACAAAGCTGAGATACAGTGGTGGCAAAGTTGGGAACAAAAGCCAAGATGAGCCTGCCACCCAAGGTCCTTTCACTCCTGGGTGCATTAGCCAATTTCAGAGAGACAGCTGAGAGACTGAGCAGTACTTCTGGAAGCTTCAAAAGACCAAGGTAGTTGGGCTCGGTGGCTCAGCCTGTAATCCCAGCGCTTTGGGAGGCTGAGGTGAGTGGATTGCCTGAGCCCGCGGGTTCGAGACCCGCCTAGGCAACTTGGTGAGACCTCATCTCTACAATAAATCAAAAAATTAGCCAGGCGTGGTAGCGCGCGCCTGTAGTTCCAGCTACTTGGAAGACAGAGGCGGAAGGATCACTGGATTCCAGCAGGTCGAGGCTGCAATGGCTGGGAGTGGCCGGTGCACTCTAGTCTGGGTGACAGAGTGAGACTCCAACTCAAAAAAAAAAAAAAAGGCCAAGGTGACAGGGATCAGATCCAGACCCACCAGGTGGAGAGGACCCTGTGTACTAGGGCTAGGACCTAAAAAGCTGTACCTAGAGAGAAAGGGAGAAACTGAGTAGGCAGTTCAGTTTTTAACCATTTCAGTCTCTGCCATCAAGCCAAGGTGATCATAGAATGCCAGAGTTCCTGGCAGAAGCAACATAAATCCTCCCTGGAGAAAGTGCTGAGCTCCGAATTTCTATTATCAACCTTGCAAATACAATGTTAGGCACACAATCCAAAATTTTCAGGAACACCAGGAGACTAGACAATAAGAACAGAAGACAGCAGAGACAACTGAAACAGAAATATCCATAAGGTCTTCAAATACTGAAGTCATCAGACATTCATGGTAATTAAACAATACATACATGTCACAAAGATTAGATAGTGAAATTAAAGAAAAAAGAACTTAAAGAGATTAAGAAAAGATGGAACAAGCTGGGCACGGGTGGCTCACACCTGTAATCCCAGCACTTTGGAAGACGGAGGCAAGAGGATTGCCTGAGTCCAAGGGTTCAAGACCAGCCTGGGCAACTTGGTGAGACCTCATCTCTACAATAAACCAAAAAATTAGCTGGGCATGGTAGCCTGTAGTTCCAGCTACTTGAAAGACTGAGGTGGAAGGATTGCCTGAGCCCAGCAGGTAGAGGCTACAGTATCTGTGAGCATGCCACTGC